TTATCTGACTTTTTTATCATCTGTAGTATTTTTAAGGTAATGTATCACGAGTAATGCGAGTTATATAATCAAATGTTGTTGGTTAGCTGTGCAACTACACCATTTGAATCAAAAGAAAGGCACATTTCTTTTAATGTAGTTTTGATAAATCAGATAGATTTCCTAAAACATTGTCAAGCAAAACACACTAATTCTATCTCTATTAAATAAATTTAATGTGTTTAATCTGTGTTGGTCATCTCTAATGCATATTGTGAGAGTCCGACTCAGTGTTGTGTCAGGAATGTGTTAATCATATGTTTCTTATTAGCTGTTTGAATGCGGTTACTGTTAAATCCTGTCAAAATGTGCTTTCTCAGGGAAGTTTCTGAGCACCCCTGTAGCGTAAACGGACATGAGCCTCTAATGTTTTCTGGGATTTTGACTGTTATGTGTGTGTTGCGCAACATATGTTAAGACATGAGTTGGCTTGTGTTGTTTTTAGTGTTCGCAGAGTAACTGGTTTTGGGACAAACGTCATCCTTCATGCTTTAATTTAAGCCATCAGTGGGAAAATAGGAGGAAGTATGCTTTGTTTTGACATTCATCTGCTTGTTAAAGGAACACTCCACTTTTTTTCTTGAAAATAGGCCCTGTTGAGTTTTACCATTTTGGGGTCTGACGGTAGCGCTTTTAGCTTAGCTTAGATCATTAGATCCGATTAGACCAGGGGTGTCCAAACTCGGTCCTGAAGGGCCGGCGTCCTGCAGATTTTAGCTCTAACTTGTTTCAACACACCTGCAACCTTCTCAGAAATAAAGGTACAGGAGTTGTCACTTGAGCAGAACCTTTTCAAACGGTACATATTTGTACCCAAAGAGTCCACAATGGTACCTAAACGGTGCATATTAGTACCCAAATGTACCTAATAAGTACCTTTGAATTACAATTATTGACCCTTCAGGTACAAATACCGTTTGAAAAGGTACTGCCCCAATGACAGCTCCTGTACCTTTATTTCTGAGAGTAAAGGATGTTTCTAGAAAGCCTAGTAAGAGCTTGATTAGCTAGCCCTGGTGTGCCTGATTGAGGTTGGAACTAAACTTTGCTGTACACCCCCCCTCCAGGACAGAGTCTGGACACCCCTGGATTAGACCATTAGCATCTCGCTCCAAATGTTTCGATAATTCTCCTATTTACAGCTCGAGTTATCTGTAGTTACATCGTGTACTAAGACTTACAGAAATGAAAAGCATTCAGGTTTAAGTCCCCACCGGGATATAAAAACAAGTACACACACTCGTACGCACACTGGTTTCCCTCTGCATTTTAATGGGATTACTGCCATCTGCAGACCCTTAAGAAACAAAAGTGTATAATTGTGGAAAAGTCGTCTTCTCTAGTGGGCTGAAGTGTTTACGTCAGCATGCAAACACACACGCACACACACACACACACACACTGCTGGAATATATAAGGCAGATTTAGAGTTTCAGTTAAGTGGTCATTTTAATTAACTAATTGCTCTGAGTTTGGGTGATGCTGCTGGTATGTTTCACTGTTTTCTGGCTCTTGCTCACCAAGACTGCAATTGATCTTTTGGTTGCATCATAAATGCAGTAAAATATGTGAAATATTACCATTTAACCCTCTGGCAGTCAAAAGCAGTAAATGTCTAAACATGGACAAAAGATGTGTTTTAGCTATTTGTTTTGTTTTTTAATTTAATTGTATAATCAAATCCACAATTTCTTAGTAATGCCTAAACAACTAAGGAATTCGCCAGCAGCATTGTAGAGATAGTAATACTAGAACCAAGTGGTTTCACCATGTCATTGCATGTTTTTATTTACAACCAGACGATGCTAATGCTGTTTTGTTTTTGTTTTTGAATGGCAGAATCTCTATTATACCTCAGGAATGCAGTGGCATGGTGCCTCAGTGGTGAACCTCACAGCTAGAAGGTCGCTGATTCGAGTCCCGGCTGGGTCAGTTGGCATTTTTGTGTGGAGTTTGCATGTTCTCCACGTGTTGGTGTGGGTTTCCTCCGGGTGTTCCGGTTTCCCCCACAAGTCCAAACACATGCGCTATAGGTGAATTGGATAAACTAAATTTTCCATAGTGTATGAGTGTGTGTATGTTAATGTGAGAGTGTATGGATGTTTTCCATTGCTGGGTTGGGGCTGAAAGGGCATTTGCTGTGTAAAACATGATCTAACTTTTTATGCCTGACTTAAACTCTCTTAAAACTCCTCAAAAAAAAGCAATTAGTTGACAAATACTTAAAAAAATTATAATTTTTTTTATATAAAAAGTTTTAAATTACTTTAAAAAATATTTAAAATATAAATTACTTAAAAAAACATATTTAAATTAAATATTTATATTTAATATAAAATAATTTAACATCAATATATGCCTTATAAACCAAATAAAGTGAGCAAATCAATTTCTAACTTGAAACTGTTAAGTTGACTCAACTTAATTTTATAATTATGCACTTACAGTTAACTTACATCATTTGAAGGCAACAGGTTTAATCACTTTTCTGAAGCAAAATCAACTGATTGCTTTAGACAAGGCAGCTACAGACCTGGCGGCATGGTGGCTCAGTGGTTAGCACTGTCACCTCACAGCAAGAAGGTTGCTGGTTTGAGTCTCGGCTGGGCCAGTGGGCATTTCTGTGTGGAGTTTGCATACACTTCCCAGGTTGGCGTGGGTTTCCTCTGGGAGCTCCGGTTACCCCCTCAGTCCAAACACATTCGATATACTGTAGGTGAATTGGATGAATTAAATTGGCTGTAGTGTATGAGTGCGAATGAGTTTGTGTGCGTGTTTCCCACTACTGGGTTGCAGCTGGAAGGGAATCCGCTGTGTAAAACATATGCCGGAATAGTCTTTGATATAGATTATTTTTATGATTTAATGATGGTTTTGATTTTGGGTTTTCCAGAGCTGCAGATGGTTTGTGTTTAGTTTTATCGTAATGAAAAAGACAGGAAAAGATTGCGCTGTCTTGAGCTGAAATGAAGACTGTGATCTTCATGAATGACTGTGTTTGTGTCTGTAGATATAAATGGACACAATCCAGGTCAAAAAGCTCCTGTCAGCGGGTCGAGCCGCACTCACTTCCTGTTCTATCTCTAGACCACACACACACTGACACAACCACAACAGAAGCACACACACAGATACACCCGACAGCTCACCAACACCCTTCCTCATTTTCCTGTTATTCCCCTTACATCTAACCAATAAAGTTATAATTTGCTAATAATAATATGAAGGAGCTGTTTTCAGCATGCTCAACAATAAGATTCCTGAGCATCAACTCATCTTTTTCTGAAACATCATGCAACACTGAAAATGGAGTAATGATGCTGGAAAACCTGCACGACTCACAGTTTATATATGCTGTATACCGGCCACTTTATTAGGTACACCTGTCCAACATCAAATTTCTAATCAGCCAATCACATGGCAGCAAGTCAATGCATTTAGGCATGTAGACATGGTCAAGACGATCTGCTGCAGTTCAAACCGAATCAGAATGGGGAAGAAAGGGGATTTAAGTGACTTTGAACCTGGCATGGTTGTTGGTGCCAGACGGGCTGGTCAGAGTATTTCAGAAACTGCTGATCTACTGGGATTTTCATGCACAACCATCTTGAGTGGCAGTTCTGTGGGCGCAAATCCCTTATTGATGCCAGAGGTCAGAGGAGAATGGCCAGACTGGTTTCAGCTGATAGAAAGGCAACAGTAACTCAAATAAGCACTCGCTACAACCGAGGTTTGCAGAAGAGCATCTCTAAACACACAACACGGCCAACCTTGAGGCGGATGGGCTACAGCAGCAAAAGACCACACTGGGTGCCACTCCTGTCAGCTAAGAACAGGAAACTGAGGCTACAATTCACACAGGCTCACCAAAACTGGACAATAGAAGATTGGAGAAACGTTGCCTGCTCTGATGAGTCTCCATTTCTGCTCCCACATTCAGATGGTCGGGTCAGAATTTGACATCAACAGCATGAAAGCATGGATCCATCCTGCCTTGTATCAACAGTTCAGGCTGCTGGTGGTGGTGTAATGGTGTGGGGGATATTTTTTTAGTTTGGACTGTGGGAGAAACTGGAGCACCTGGAGAAAACCCACCCAAACGCTGGGAGAACATGCAAACTCCGCAGAGAAATGCCAACTGGCCTAGCCGAGACTCGAACCTGCGACCTTCTTGCAGTGAGGCGATCCTGCTACCCACTGCACCACTGTGACACCCCTTGAAGGATGGTGAGCGAATATTTAATCACAATAATAAATAATTAGTGTAATATTCACATTAAATCAAACGTTTCATTTAACCATTTATTTTAATTAAGTTTCTGTTTAGACCAAGATACTGCAGGTAAATATGGGTGTAAATATCAGCCAGTTATCACCTTATTTCCCCAGATGATTAATTAAATTAGGAATTATAGTCATTTGTTTGTATTACAATTTTTTTATGTTATGTTTAAATATGCAAATGAGACATTATAGGGTAAAATGGTTGTAATTTTTTGGTATGTTTGTTTATAATCATGCAAATTATGTAAAAACATCTGTTAAAACCTTCAGATTATATATATATAATTTTGTGTAAGTAAGTGCTGTTTAAGTGAGAGGGGTCTGGCTGCAGACTCGGTGCAGTGCAATCTGAGCTGCATTCAATGCTTTTTAATGCACTCACCTAACCCCACCCCTATAATGCAATCTCAGCTTGCATTATAAAGGCTGCATCCAGATACTATTGGGAGAGTTATAGCTCAGTCCAAGAGAAAAAATAAATAAATCTAAAATTAATTTAAATCTACAGATGCAAAATGATCAAATGTGTTAAAAGCAACACCTAAAAGTGTATTCTGGATGTTTTCTTCACATTAGACTGAAAACAGCCCTGCAGTCTCTCACCCTAATGTTAGGAAGTGTACATTTATATCATCAATATGCATTTATAGCATCTCAGAAAGCACACAAACACAAGCTCAGTGATTTTTCTTCTTTATAATTGTATATTTTCAAACCAAACTTTCATACAAACTCTACAATGTTAACAGAATATTTTGTTCATCCAGTTTTAAAACTCTAAAGCATCTTATGTACACGGATATCCACATAAACACACATATATACATTTATTTTACACACAGCAGTCACATTGGTTTTTAAAGACACACTTTGACAGTAATAACAAACACAGGCAGCATCAAATATGGCAGGACGGTTGGCTCTCTGTGTTTGGTTTCTTTCGTTTAGTGCACAAACGTCGCTGACAGTGAATGACGCACACACAAAAAAAGACATAAGCGATAGCAGATGAACAGAATATGGAGGACAGTGTTTTGCAGGCAACGTTTTGGTACACAAATCCACAGTGTGAGAGGCAGCTTATGAGTTAAATTATCTTTAATAAGTACATCTCTACTACAAATAAAATCCCGATCTGTGAGGATACCCTGTAAAATTCCCTGTGCGTTCACACTGACAACACGCTAGTCCAGTTTAAAGTCCACATGAAATCAAAACTAGCTCACATTGCTAGTTTTGTGGTGAACAATTCATCTGTGCATGACATTAAGAAAAAATAAAGTTTGCCCTTGTAATCTAAAATTGAAGTCTGAAATGCACTTGCTGTTTAAGTTAAATTCTCAGATTAGGTCTGTTTGAGTTATTGGGCGTGGCTAACATAACCATGCCCCTTCAACTGTCAGACAACAAACAGAAATGCTAAGGAGGAGGAGTCTCTTAGGTTGTAATAACTCTTCCGAAACCCTTTCCAAGATCTTTCTGAATAAAACGCCTACTTTACTACATCCAATCAGCTCGCTGTAGACAAAAACAAGCCCCACCCACTGTTTTCTCAATTATTTTTATGTTTCTCTCGGAACTGCGTCACAATACTGAAAAAAAAAATGGTTGCAGCTTCCGGTTCAGACTTTAAGAATATCCGCGTTTTTATTGGTCATTCCACCACTGCTCATTTGAATAAAGTTAAACTGCTAGCTTTAGACTCAAAATTGTCATTTACAGAATATTCAGCCTAATCTCACGAAGAAACGTAACGTTTTTACGTATTGTTCGAAAAGTGGCTAACTTGTATGAATTTATACAATTTAATTAGTACAATTATTATAAAACCCCTCCCCTATATGCAAATCAAACCAAAATGTACGAAGCAGATTCAAATTTAAACGAATTAGCGACGAAATCAAACAATTTACGAATTTGCGTGAGATCGATTTGAATATTAATGACATTAAGTTGGAAATCGTAATCAGTGTGAACGCACTTTTAAGATTAAATAATTTCATTTGTCTGAGTAAAAAGTGCCCTGCTTACTTTGTGAGCTAATCGGCTAGCACAAGCATCGCTAACATAAGCAACGTCAAAGCAAACTAGCAGTGACGTTAACCATGAGGTATTCAGCTATCTGTGGACGCCATTAATATACTACAGCTATGATTTCGCTTTTCATTATTTCGTGTTAGCTTAGCATGTTAGCATATACGCCATAGCTGATTTTTATAGACAAAAAGTTTTATATAAAACATCTTTTTTGCTACGCTACATATAGATCTGTTTTGGTTCTCAGTGCTTGCAGCATCCAGGCATCGCCGTCTCCTTTTACCAGTGCAAATTTAGAAAATAGACGTGATTTTTTTTCTTTTATATATATGTATATATATAAAAATGGAAAAAAATATATACTCTCAATAAAAAAACAGACAAATCAATAGGTTTTTCGGTGGCGTCAAATACTGCTTTTTGTTTTCAGCGCTACATGCATCGCGTACAGCTTATATATTCACGAACTCAACATCACGAGGACTTTGGATGCGATACGATAATCAGTCCAAAGATTTTCCTGAGTTTAAAAAGAGGCTCAGTTTAGGATCCCACATTCAGCGAGAAAACCTGGTCAATCACGCAATGATCCGCTAATGTCCGTCCTGTGAAATCCAGCGATCTCTCATGGCATCTTCTAAACATCTCCTTTTTCTCTGTTCCGTTCAGGAGTTTCTCAAACCCGCTGAATCCTCATCAAAGGTCTGTCAAGTTTGGCTCTGCTGATATCTCTTCCTCCGTCAGTCATTGACCAGAGTGCAGGGGATCATCAAGGATTGTTTGGCCTGTTCGTACGCCTTCAGAAAGTCTTTATATCTTGGAGCGCAGCCGAGCCAGGCCTCCCCGAAATGCACGCGTCCGGTGAAGAGGAAACTGCCTGCACCAGGACGAACGCCACATTGTAGAGGGGTACGGATCTCGCCTGAACGCGTCAGACGCCCAGATTCAGGGAACAACGCAAACTTCTGCCGGTAAACCCGCGTCGCACTCACTTTGATCACGGCTGCTTTTAGATTCGAGTCTGTTCCCACTGAGCGGATGTTTCCTCGAACCACTGGAGAATAAACACACAGAGCACTGTTCATCAGTATGGATAGATGCACCATACACTTAATACACAAATACATTAAACATCTACATCACCTATATAGACCATTTTGAGGGATGTAAACAATAACAATGGTCTCAATGCATTTCTTGTTTTACTATTTTAACTTCTATAGCTTCTGAGAATCCAAAAAGGTCCACATATTGATAAATCCTGTTGTGATAGCTGTTTTAACATGACGTTATGATTGAATTGCCTCTTGTTATAGTTATGAAATAGTTTGATAACAAGCAGGAAATGTTCAATGACATGACCACGTTGAAATGGTCTTTACTACATATCTGCAGGTTAACTATGCTTATATATAATAACTTTAACTGTTAGTTACTAGTTAATGAGTTAAAGGTATTAATAACTAATAACTTTAACTTTTCAGCATGTGATTGTGATACAACAATGTGCCGCTTTTGTAAAACTGCTTTAAAACATTAATTATTGTGAAAAGCGCAATACAAATACACTTAAATTGAACTGAATCATAAATCGTCCTTTTTGTATGGTGTCATATATCATAAATATCCTCAAATGAATTCATAAACACAATTTATAGTAGTTTGGATTGAGTGTTTTGAACCAAACTGAAACTAACTGCATTTCGTTGCATTGTACTTGTACATGTGTAACAACAATAAAGTTGAATCTAATCTAGTCTAAACTAATCTAATCTAAACTAATCTAGTCTAAACTAATCTAAACTAATCTAATCTAAACTAATCTAATCTAATCTAGTCTAGTCTAAACTAATCTAATCTAAACTAATCTAATCTAATCTAGTCTAGTCTAAACTAATCTAAACTGATCTAATCTAAACTTATCTAATCTAATCTAGTCTAGTCTAAACTAATCTAAACTAATCTAATCTAATCTAGTCTAATCTAATCTAATCTAGTCTAGTCTAAACTAATCTAAACTAATCTAATCTAATCTAGTCTAATCTAATCTAATCTAGTCTAGTCTAAACTAATCTAAACTAATCTAATCTAAACTAATCTAATCTAATCTAATCTAATCTAATCTAGTCTAGTCTAGTCTAGTCTAGTCTAAACTAATCTAAACTAATCTAATCTAAACTAATCTAATCTAATCTAGTCTAATCTAATCTAATCTAGTCTAGTCTAAACTAATCTAAACTAATCTAATCTAAACTAATCTAATCTAATCTAGTCTAATCTAATCTAGTCTAGTCTAAACTAATCTAAACTAATCTAAACTAATATAATCTAAACTAATCTAAACTAATCTAATCTAGTCTAAACTAATCTAATCTAAACTAATCTAATCTAAACTAATCTAATCTAATATAATCTAATCTAATATAATCTAATCTAATCTAACAGAATCTAACCGCTAGCTTAAGCCTCAGAATTGTCACTTACAGAATATTCAGCCTGATCTTATGAAGAAACGTAACGGTTTTCTGTTGTTTGAAAAGTGGCTAACTTGTACGAATTCATACGATTTATTTAGTATGAAAACATAAAAATCGTTTAAAACCCCGCCCCATATGCAAATCATACCAAAATGTGCAAATCAGATACAAATTTAATCGAATTAGCCATGAATACGAATTTCCGTGAGATCGATTTGGAATATAATAATTATTTTATAGTCAAAATAAAGATTAAAGGGGTAGTTCACCTCACAGTTGACTCACTATTTACTTTACCTGGTTTGAGTTTCTTGTTTATAGTGAATACAAAAAAAGAAGATACTTTGAAGAATGTTGGAAACCGGTAACCATTAGTATTTGTTTATGGGTGTCAATGTTTACCAGTTTTTAACATTCTTCACTTTGTGATGAGTGAAAGGTGAGTAAATGATGGCAGAATTTAAATTTTTGAGTGAACTATCCCTTTAAAATGAAATAAAACCATATACAACAACACAAACTTTAGCTTTACTGCCAAGTTAACCTTTATAATTTTCACTTAAAGGTGCATTAAAAGAGCTCAAATTAAACTTTACTGAAAAACTCCATTATACAACGATATTACTCAATTTATACAACAAAATTAACATAAAAATACTGATAGACAGCTATATATTAGGGAGTATTTCTTATATTTTTGCGTAACTTTATGCACAAAAATAACAACCAAAGTATAAATAACTTTTAGAAAAAAATATAAAACTTAGTATTTTTTGAAAATATTAATAAAAAGAACAATGAAGGCAAATGTCTTGCAGACAAAAAGTCTGAGCTTTACTTGGGTTTGATCTTCTGACCTTTAGTCACAGATTTTTAAACAAACAAACAGAAAGTGTGGCATACAGCTTGAAGATCAGGATTGACGGCTGACAGCTGTAGGTTTGAGGTGCTTGCTTTCATTCACACAGAATTTCATAAACACAGCATTTCATTCTAGAAAACGCTGGATTGGTGTAACCCAATGTTGGGTCACTCATTGTCCTTCACCTTATTCCCTTTATTGATCAGGGGTTGCCACAGTGGAATGAACCGCCAACTTATCCAGCATATGTTTTACACAGCGGATGCTTTTCCAGCTGCAACCTAGTACTGGGAAATACCCATACACTCTCACATTCACACACACACTCATACTCTACGGCCAATTTAGTTTATCCAATTCACCTATAGTGCATGTATTTTGACTGTGGGGAAAACTGGAGAACCTGGAGGGAATCCATGTTAACATGGGGAGAACGTGCAAACTCCAAACAGAAATGCCAACTTAGGCGACAGTGCTAATAACTGAGCCACCATGCCACCCAGTGTTGGATTAAATATGAACAAATCCAACTGCTGGGTTGAAAAGTGCCATTTAAAGGTCCCATGATATTGCAATGAGTTTTTTAGATGTTAGTCTTAACCCTTTTACTTGCATCGTAACTACCTGGATGACCTTTTATCCATAGGTTATCATTATTATAGGTTATCATATTTATATTAGAGATGTGTCAGTATATTATTCAATCCAAGATGTGGGCCAAAAATTCTTTTTTTTCCAAGTAGTGCACCTTAAAATGTTAAGGATAAGCTAGTGTCCTCCAGAACAGTGACAAAATTTGCATTAAGAAGATCTTAACATCTAAAGCTTGCAGTTTGTCACTTACGCATAAATGGATCAATGATTTTTCTGACATCATCTCATACTTTTCTCATCAAATCTTCTGACCAATCAAATGCTCTTTAGTGTCTGACATGCCCCGCCCCCTTCAAGACACTATTGTGTGTGAGCTCACCCACTCTCACTGGCAGAGCTGTGATAAAAACTAAATGCTATTGGCTGTTATTTTTTTAAAGGGAGGGTCTACTATATGCCCCGCCCTCTCTTCATGTTTCAGTTGAGATTAGTCTAACATCGAATATAAAAACACACATTTCAGCACGTCACTGGACTTTTAAATTGAATTGAAAAAATTAACCCAACATTTGGTTTGTCCAATGTCGAGTTACAACAACCCAGCATTTTTTTTTAGATTGTAAAGCCAACATTTGGTGGAAACATCTTTTAGATTGCTTGGGACAAAGGCTCCGTTTACACTAGTGCGTTTTAGTTTTAAAACGGCGTTTTAGATCAAAAACGATCCGCGTCCACACTAGCGTTTCTGAACATATCTCCGTCCACACTACACCACCAAAAACGTATATCACGTGACCATTCGCGCACTCTGGGCCCTATCATACACCCGGCGCAAGACGCAGCGCAATAGTCTTTTGCTAGTTTCAGCTTGGCGCAAGAGTCGTTTTGAGGCGTTGCACTACGCTGTTTAAATAGCAAATGCATTAGCGCTCATTTGTGCGCCCATAGGCGTTCTGGTCTAAAAAGGAAGGCGTTCTGAGGCGGACCGCTGGCGCGTCGCTATTTTGAGAAACTATAATAGATTTTTCATTAGACCAAAACTAACCCGGTCTAAACTCCAGCGCAGAGTTGCGCCTCGCTTATGCACTGCTTAATATGCACAAGAGAGCAACAGGCAAATATCTTTACATATGAAAAAATGTAAATATTAAGGATATATATAGTATATAATAAGAATAGATATAGGATATAAATATAAAGGATTAAAATATTACAAAACAGTTTATTTTCTAGCCTACATAAATATGAAAAACCACTGCTTTTATGCCTTCTTCATCTCGGGAGGCTTTTTCAGTTCATTCATAACAATTTGCTTTTGTATAATGTTATTATTATTATCAGTATTATTTAATATATCCATATTTATAGTTGTTTTATTAAAAACAAGCTTAGATTTGTCCACCTGCAGGTTTTAGACCATATGGGGCATGGCAGGTGTATTTGGAAATAACTCAGTATTTTGACCACACTTGGTTATTATTGTTCATTTATTCGTTTGCTAGAAATTAGAACTGAATTTAGAAATAGTTTTGAAACAAATCTTTGCGCTTAACAAACGAAATTAATTAGGCCTATTTATAGACTAATAGATGTCTGTGCGTAAAGGTTTCCCTATCCAAGAGCGAAAGTGAAAGTAGATCCATTATCTCTCATTCTCACGCAGTAGATGCTCTGTTTAACAGTTTTCTGTTAAAAACCTGTGAACTGTTTGCTTGTGAAATGCTCATTTTTTCCTCTTAGACTTACTTTGCGTCCTGTAAATAGCGAATGCGCTCTTGGCGTGACGCAGCTGACTCTTAAAGGGAATGAGAGATGAGACTCTAATTGGTTTATTCTCAAAACACACCTATAACTCATTAAGAAAATAAACAACACTTTTAGCCCATGCGCCTTGGGGCAAAGCAGGCTTTCCCGTCCGTAAATTAGCAAAAATGCGTTCTGACACGCCCTGAAAGTGTTTGCGCCCTGCGTTTTGCGCTCTGGGCATGGACCGTCAAAATAGAGCCCTCTGTGTATGCGTGGTCTAGTATAAACAGGAAGCATGCGTCTCGCTCGGCATTTGGTTATTGTTAGTCAACAAACGCCGGTTGAACAATGAACGCGATGGCAAAGAAAGCAAGAGAGGTATTTTTGTGGGCAGACGACTAGGTCGAGTTGTTACTAAACCTAACAAATGAATAACTGCACAATGGCGCCTAAAACAGACAATAGTGCAAACAACGCTCCCATCTCTGTGTCCATGTTGTTGTTTACAGTGAAGGCTGATCTGCTGTCTTCCGATAGCGTTAAAGCCATGTGTTATAGTCATGTGATAGGGGCTTGACGAATAAGGAAAGGATACGCAATGACACAAAAGCCCTAATCAGGTAGCGAATCTCAGCAGCCCCGCCTCCGTTTACAGATGTCTCCGTTTTCCCACATCTACACTGAGACGGAGCAGCAGCGTTTCAGAATGAAAACAGCCTCTCCAGCGTTTCCAAAACGCTCAGTTTTCGGTGCTCGAAAACTCCGGCGTAGTGTGGACGGATGGCGTAACTGTAGCAAAACTTATGCGTTTTCAAACTAAAACGTATTAGTGTAAACGGGGCCAAAGACACCTTTATCCTAAAAAACACAACCAAAGCAAAAGTCAGATACTCACCAAAGTCACTAGTGCAGACGGCCATCAGGATCTCAGTGTTATTGCAGGGTCTGCAGGCTCCTGAGAGAAGAGAAAAGAGTAGATGATCAGGACGTGCAGCTGCTATTTTACGGCTCTGCTGGAGGTGTGATTGATGGAAATGACCTCCTGATAGGTGTGATCATCTCACCTGATCAAAGCCCTTTGTTCTCATTAAAGACCCTCACGCTGCCCCCTTCCTCTCTAATCTGCCTCATTTATAAGGTCTAGTAAAGATTAGGCCGAGCAGCTGAGCTCATAAAACTAACCCACACAGGAATTCAACCTTCTTGTCAAGTTGAAAGTCTGCATGAACCAGTAGTTGCTGCAGACTGTTATTTCAGTATGATGATGTATTTGTAACTGAAAGTGAATACTGAGTAGGGGGCGGGGTTTTATTTTTTGCTCCTCCTCTCTTCTTTCTTTAACGGTTGGAGGGGCGTGGCTAAGCATGTTTCGGCTGACATCATCAGAGAAGGACTGCTGTTTCAGAGCAGGAGCAAGTGGACAAATTTTGATTAAACTTTAGCGAAATAAATTTTTAAAAAATGTTTTCAGAGAATTTAATTGAGACTAACAGTATGCGCAAGCAAAATAAACGTTGTAAATTTAGTTTTAAGTGCACTTTAAAGTTTATAGATGTGTTTTCAGAAAGTAAATTCAACTTTAACCCAGGGTAGATGGCATAAAAAGCTTAAAATTATAATTATGAGACTGATTAGGCGTTGTTTGATATATATATATATATATATATATATATATATATATATATATATATATATATATATATATATATATAAATATATATATATATATATATATATAAATATTAATTAAATGCATCTTGACCTGATTTCTGCAGCTCTACATGTGCACTTCCAAACAGTGCAACATGTGTGTGTGTGTGTGTGTGTGTGTGTGTGTGTGTGTGTGTGTGTGTGTGTGAGAGAGAAAGTTGTTGGCCCTTTAAAACTTTTAAACGTCCTTCCCAGACTCGTCTCCGCTCCGCTCCCAAAACTCCCAACAAAAGATCCACTTTTTTCAGTTGCAGGGTTTCAGCCCAACCCCCCCGTTACCACAGCGACTGTGCTCTCATGCAAACCTCACTATAGAGGCGCAGGATCCTCCACACGGAGCTTTTGTGTTTCTCTCCATCCCCCTTCAGTCTCGACTCTTCCTCCCCCGACTCTCACCACCGCCCAGCCGAGGCCTCCCAAAACTTACTTCACAATCAAACATTACAGGCTGAGAGTAAAGGAATGAATTTGCTGCATTTTTGCATGAAGCAAGGTGTGGAATGTTCACTCGGCGGATCGGCTCTAAAATGCATTCCTCAAAAGTTCAAGACTCATTACAGATTGAATGAATGCTCTGTTTTGTCTGTCTGGTTTCTCGGATTTTGCACCCCCATCCAGCCTGAGGTCACAGGTCAACTCCAACTTTATCTCCAACCATGCAGAGAGTTTGCGCAGTTGTGTCGCTAAAAGCATCAACCTCTAAGGGTTTGCAGAACTATTCCATTATGATTTTATGCATCAAATTAAATTAGATTTGTTTCATTTATATACATCGAAAGTAGATTAAATGCAAATAAAGTGTCTATTTTAATGATTCACATAACTTTTATAAATATAAAACATCAAAATATGAATAAAATGATGCTGTTTCACTGATATATTTATGCAAATATTAAACATTTATTTTGACCTGCACTCATTTTGATTGTATTTCAGTTTTAAAATTTATTTTTGAAGGATACCGGCTACATTTAAAGATATAAAATGAGTATTTTGGGGTTGCACTGTGTTTCTTAAAGTGATAGTTCACTTAAAAATGTAAAGTGTGTGAAATAGTAAATATTAAAAATAATAACTCACATCAAAGTGGTTCCAAACATTACAGTTACTTTCACCTGTTGAACACAAAAGAAGTTATTTTGAAGAATGATGAAAACCTGTAACCATTAACTTCCATAGTAGGAGAAACAAATACCATGAAAGTCAATGGTTAGAGCTTTCCAGCATTCTTTAAAGTATCTTCTTTTGATTTGCACAGTTGTTTCAGTTTTAAAACAAATTTTTTTATGGGTTCCAGCAAAGTTTAAAGATATAAAACGAGTATTAATGAGTACTTTGGGGTTGCACTGTGCTTCTTAAAGGGATAGTACACCCAAAAATGATCATTTACTCTCCCTCAAGTGTTTCCAAGCATTTATGAGTTTCTTCTGTTAAACACAAAAGAAGATCTTTTAATAAATGATGAAAACCTGTAACCATTGACTTCCATAGTAGGAGAATCAAATACCATGAAAGTCAATGGTTAAAGCTGTCCAACATTCTTCAAAGTATCTTCTTTTGATTTGCACAGTTATTTCAGTTTTAAAACTTATTTTTGATGGGTTCCAGGCTTCCAGCTAAGTTTAAATATATAAAACGAGTATTAATGAGTATTTTGGGGTTGCACTGTGCTTCTTAAAGGGATAGTTCACCCAAAAATGAACATTTACTCTCCCTCAAGTGGTTCCAAACCTTTATGAGTTTCTTTCATCTGTTGATCACAAAAGAAGCTATTTTGAAGTATGATGAAAACTTGTAACCATTGACTTCCATAGTAGGAAAAACAAATACCATGAAAGTCAATGGTTACAGGTTTCCAGCATTCTTTAAAATGTCTTCTTTTGATTTGCACAGTTGTTTCGCTAAAAGCATCAAGTTCTGAAAGTTAGCAAAAATATTTTATTGTTGCATTGTATAAATGGGAAAATGTTTTTGGTTAATGCGGCAAATTTAATAAAATTTGTTTTGATTTATGTAAATAGAAAGTATATAAAATGCAAATAAAGTGTCTATTTTAATGATTCACATTACTTTTATTGATATAAACCATCAAAATATGGATAAAATGATGCTGTTTTACTGATATATTTATGCAAATATTAAACATTTATATTGATCTACACTCAATTTGATTGCATTTCAGTTTTAAAACTTATTTTGAAAGAGACCAGCAAAGTTTTAAAATATAACATGACTATTAATGAGTATTTTTAGGTTGCACCTTGATTCTTAAAGGAGTAGTTCACCCAAAAATGAATATTTACTCACTATTTACTCACACTAAAGTGTTTCCAAACATTTATGAGTTTCTTTCATCTGTTGAACACAAAAGAAGTCATTTTGAAGTATGACGGAAACCTGTAACCATTGACTTGCATAGCAGGAAAAACAAATACCATGAAAGTCAATGGCTACAGGTTTCCAACATTCTTTAAAACATCTTATTTTGTGTTGAACAAATAAAAGAAACGCATAATGGTTCAAATGTTCATTTTTGGGTGAACTAACCCTTTAACACGTCATGAAAGGTTTGTTTTAAATTCAATAGTATCTGGATGTAGCCTTTATGATGCAAGCTGAGACTGCATCACTCAGCGATGCAATGTCAGACACAATGCACTCAAATGGAGCTAGTGACGTCACTGTGATGGGTAGGGTTAGGTGAGCCCATTAAAAAGCATTGGATGCAGCCCAGATTGCACTGCACCAGGTCTGCAGCCAGACCCCTCTCTTTAAATTTGCCTAACAATATTTTCATATTTAAGCTTCTGCTATATTGAATATAATTTTAGTGGATGTCTTTTTTCAAAATATGTGATCATGATGTTTTTATCCTCAGAAATAATGAATTAAGACTCATTCTCATGATGTCTTTGACCAACATGTTTTCCAGAACATTCACCTTCGCTGCTGACTGGATCTGTGTTGACTGATGGCTGCGCCGTCCAATCCCCTCTCAGCTCGTAGCGGAAGGCAGCGATGCGTCTGCTGATATCCCGGTGCGGTGTGGCCTGCAGGAACAGTGCAGGTCGTTCTCCGGGCAGGGCACTAAAGCAGCGTACATGGGCTGGGCCGGGTGTGGTGGAGGTCTCATCTCCCACCAGAAGCTCCAGGACTCCATCGCGCTCCAGATACAGCTGAGCCCCACCCCAGTGTGGATCAGGCTTGACGCAGACTGATACCGGGCTCCTGCTGGACTCGCCCGGCCCCATGGCACTCCATGGCAGACGGGGCGACAGGGTGAGACGCAAAGCTCCAGCAGGATACAACCACTCCACCGAGCCCTCCGCACACCTCAACCAAACCTGCTCCACATTCTTCACCGCCTGAGAAAGTCCACTGAAAGAAATAACACAAATAAATCCACGTTAAAGTGATAGCTCACTTAAAAAATCCAATTCTGTCACCATTTACTCAGCGTTTACTTTACTAGGAGTTTGGTTTTTTCTGTTAAGCACAAAAGAAGCTATTTTGAGAAATGTTTAGAAAGATCATTGTAAGAACACCACTAAACCACTCTCTTTATCCATATTAAAGGGGTAGTTCACTCAAAAATTGTAATTCTGTCATTTACATTTACATTTGTTAAACCTAAAAGAAGATATTTTGAGAAATGTTTTGAAAGAAACCAGTACCCATTAACGTCCATATTTGTTTTTCCTCCTATAGAAGTCAATGGTTACCCGTTTTCAGCATTCTTCAAAATATCTTATTTTTGTGTACAACAGAGTAATGTAAATTTTAAAGGTTTGGAACTACTCAAGGGAGAGTAAAAAGTGAGTAAACTTTAACTTTTGACCTGAGAAAGACCACTCCAAGAAACATGAGTGGGTCCACTTAACCACTCTACATTTACATTTAGTCATTTGGCAGACGCTTTTGTCCAAAGCAACTTTTACAATCAGAGAGGAGTTCAGCGATTCTACAAGAAGATGCCAAAAGTGCTAATTATACAAATAAAATTATATTCTTTTGAGTCTCTTTATCCACTATTAGGAGATAGTTCACTCTAAAATTGTAATTCTGTCATCATTTACTTACATTTTACTTTAATTTGGTTAAACCTAAAAGAATATATTTTGAGAAATGTTTAGAAAGAAACCGGTAACCATTGACATCCATAGTATTTGTTTTTCCTACTATGGAAGTCAATGGTTACCGGTTTTCAGCATTCTTCAAAATATGTTATTTTTGTGATCAACAGAAGAATGTAACTCATAAAGGTTATAAAGGCAGACGCTTTTGTTCAAAGCAACTTACAATTGAGGAGGAGTTCAGCGATTCTATAAGAAGAGGTCGTAAAAATGCTAATTATACAAATTAAATTATACTCTTTGAGTCTCTTTATCTACAATTAAGGTATAGTTTACTCAAAAATTGTAATACTGTCATCATTTACTCACATTTTACTTTAAATTGGTTAAATCTAAAAGAATATATTTTTAAAAATGTTTGGAAAGAAACCAGTAACCATTGACTTCCATAGTAATTGTTTTTCCTACTATGGAAGTCAATGGTTACCGGTTTTCAGCATTTCTCTAAATAACTTATTTTTATGTTCAACTGAAGTACTTAACTTAAACGTCTGGAACTACTCAAAGGAGAGTCAATAGTGAGAAAATATTGATTTTGGGATAAACTCTACCCCTTTAAGTGTGATGCAATCAGAACAAAGTCATTTTTCTTGGCCTGATTTCTATTATCTTAAATGGACAGTTCACCCCGAAAATAAAAGTGTCATTATTTACTCACCCTTCACTTGTTTAAACCCTATTTGACTTTCTTTCTTCAATTGAACACAAAAGAAGATGTATTTAAAAATGTTGGAAAACTGTAACCATCGATTTCCATAGTAATTGTTTTCCTACTATGAAAGTCAGTAGTTACCGGTTTTCAGCATTCTTCAAAATATCTTATTTTAATATATTTCAAAATCTAACTTTTTAAAGGTCTGGAATTACTCAAAGGAGAGTGAATAGTGAGAAAATATTCATTTTTGGGTGAACTCTACCCCTTTAGGTGTGATGCAATCAGAACAGTCCTGTCTCTTGGCCTGTTTTCTATTATCTTGAATAGAATATTTTTTTTAAATGTTATTTTTTTTTAACCTGTAACCATTGACTTCCATAGTATTTGTTTTCCTACTATGGAGGTTAATGGTTACTGGTTTTCAGCTTTCTTTAAAATATCTTCTTGTGTGTTCAACAGAATAAACTCATAAAGGTTCGAAACCTTTTAAAGTGAACTATCCCTTTAAGTCCTTTTGGATTTTATAAAGTTGCAAGAAAAGTTAGGCGCCCCCTATTGGTGAGTTTAGCTGCTGGCATTTAAACTTTCCGCACTAATGGAAACATCCATCAGCACTGAAACTAATAAAACTTTTCAGGAACTTCAAAATTTAAAATTTCCGGAGTAAATTACACCCCAAGTATTTAATTGGCTTTTTTCCCGCATCTTTTTTTTTTCCTAGTGCGCATGCATATGATAGATAAATAGATAGATAGATAGATAGATAGATAGATAGATAGATAGATAGATAGATAGATAGATAGATAGATAGATAGATAGATAGATAGATAGATAGATAGATAGATTCAATGCATATGTTAACCATGATATATGAGTATTGCTCTAGTTATTATATTTGCACTTCTCTAAAAAGCGTTAATATTTCTAATTTATTGATATAATCAGCGTTATATTTGTATGTTTATTTCAACAATTTTTAAAGTAAATGCAAATAACAAAACCGTATTTAAAAGGATTAATTAATACATCAAATTACACAGAAATCATGCAAGACAGCAGAAAAATCAATGCATTTGAGGATAAAACAAAGTTAATATGCAATATAATCGACACGGAAATAATGTAACGCTGTATGTTGTTCATTTTTTACCTTCCTCTCCAGCTGCACTGATCTTCTGAGTAACTGGCCATCGACCAACCCGTCAGGAATGAAATCCAAAGCGCAACACTCCTAAATCCCCAAATCTCCATCACTGCGCGTGCTGTTATCCAGAGAGACGCGTGCGTAAAGTCCCGGTCACTGCTTCTCCAAACCTATTTTCTAAAGAACACGCAAACCTACTATTCCCATACTGTTGTCTAAGCCAAAAGACGGATCTGTTTAACTAAACTTTCCCTCTCTTTCTGCAAATCATCAGCCCGTCCCGTTTGAGCAGTGGCACCGCGCGTCCCCGCTGCCGACTGGAGCTCCAGCGCCGAACTTTTACAACTGGAGCAAACTTTAAACTCCGCCCCCACTGGAGGCGTGGCTTCAGCGCAGTTAAAGTCCAATGAATGGAGTCTCGTCTATTCACGCCGGGTAAGGGAAAACGACGGAGGAATTTTTAATCAGCCTGTTCTCAATGAATGTGAAGGATTTTTAAAACATAACACCGCGCTGGCAAGGGCATCCGAGTCACTCTAAAGAATCAATTACTCCGTAAGATTCGTTTAATAAATCGAACGATTCACTGGTTCATTTTAACACTGCACTATATCACAACATACTTAATTAATCTTTAATTATATCTATTAACTCTGTAATTATTGTGAGGGATTTTAAAACATAACAAAGGGCTGGCAATAGCATCCGAGTCACTCTAGTGAATCAATTACTCCGTATGATTCGTTTAATAAACTGAACGATTCACTGGTTCATTTTAACAACTCAGCAAGCATGCACTATATCAAAACATATCTTATTAATATTTATTCTATCCATTGGCTCTGTAATTACTGTGGGGGATTTTGAAACATAACACAGTGCTGGCAAGAGCATCCGAGTCACTCTAGCGAATCAATTACTCCGTATGATTCGTTTATTGAACCAAACGAGTCACTCGCTGCACTATACAACAATACATGTCATTGATATTTAAATATATCTATTAACTCTGTAATTAATCTTAAGGATTTTAAAACATAACAGAGCTGGCAATATCATCCGTGTCACTCTAGCGAATAAATGACTCTTTAATGAATGGAACAAATGATTCAACTTATTCATTTTAGCACAACACTGTATCAATAATAAAAATGGATTTTAACTGTATCAAGATGATTTTAACCGATATTAAATTGTATTAACCTGAAGGATTTTGAAACATAACACTGTTTTTTATTAATATTAACTCAATGCCACAAGAACAAGAGGTATTACATTTCACATAGTTTCTGAAAGATATATATATATATATTTTTTTTTTTATATGTATATATGTGTGTGTGTATATATATATATATATATATATATATATATATATATATATATATATATATATGTATATATATATATATATATATATATACATACAATTACATGACAATTAATGTTTTCAGAGCATTACCTGTTTCTGTATACTTTAAAGTCATTCACAAATGGGCAATGTTTAGTTTACATTGAGCCCACTTTTTCTTATCTATATGGTATTTTCCTAACAGCATAAACAAATTAAAAATATATTGTTCTTTACAGTTCAAGTTCTCATTATCAGAATAAAACAGTGCATCAAATAAACCAATTTCTATCTTAAAGTCCATTTTTTTTGTTAATAAACAATTCCAGATCTTTCCAAAATATTCTTGAGTAAATACAATGAAAAACAAGATGCAAAATTGTTTTTTTTTTTTTTTAAACCACAAAATTCACACATATATGAAATGTTAAGTTTAAATCTTTCCAAAACATGTTTAGTAGTATAAATTCTATGGAGAATTTTGTATGACACTTTTTAAAATTTTGTTATTTAAGCAAAACTTATTTGTCAACTTCCAAGCTTTAACACAAGAATTATTATCAAATAATGAAAGCCAAAAATGTCTTGCTGTAGGTAGAGCCAACGAATGGAGAGCATTCTTAATAACCTCATTGGTACATTGTTGTTTTACACCCTTTGGAATTGCATCCAAAACAATAGCAAATTCTCTCGATTTAACTGGAAATGTAATTTTTTAAGAAATTCAGTACAAGATAACAAATATCCATGAGGGTTAATTAACTACCTCACTAATGCCCCATTCACACGGGGCTTCAGCGTCAACGCTTGACTGAAGGCGTGTCTGAAGTTGGGGCTGAATCGATTGTCATAGCAGCGTCAGCCAATGACATTCAGTCAGCAATAGGCCACTGTCTAGCTAGTGTATTTGCATACAATGATCTGATTGGCTGACGCTTCCGTCAGCGCTTGAAAAGTTGAGCTAATCCCAACTTCTGCAGCGAGCCACGCCTCTGAAGCGGCACCGACGGATACACAGTACAGTTCGGCAACACTTGACGTCACCCATTCAAAGTGAATGAAAAGCGTTGGCGCTGACGCCCGTGTGAATGAGGCGTAACAGAATACCATTATTGAACTAATTCTGATAAAATAAAGATTTGTTTTTTAATAAAACATCCTTGTTATTCCATATGAAATAATTGTGGGGTGAAAAATTGTGTTTATATACTAATTTCCATGACAGGGCTTGTCTATAAAAACTGGCCAATTTAACTGAAATTTTGTCAACAGAAAAATTACATTTTAACAAAAAGTCGATGCCACCCAGGGTATTGAATATAAATAGGAAATACATTGAAATAATTGTCTCTGTTATTAATAAATTCAATCAATCATTTTGAAACATAACACTGGTCCGAGTCTCTCTAGCAAATCAATTGCGTAGTGCGGCTTGTAAAACGAACTGAATCAATGATTCACTGATTCATTTGGGTCCAGTTTCACAAACAGGGCTTAGATTAAGCCAGAACTAGGCCTTAGTTATTCATTCATTCATTCATTCATTTTCTTGAAGGCTTAGTCCCTTTATTAATCTGGGGTTGCCACAGCGAAATCATCCGCCAACATATCCAGCAAGTTTTTACGCAGCGGATGCCCTTCCAGCCGCAACCCATCTCTGGGAAAAGGCCTTAGTTAAATAAGGCTATTTAAGACACATTTATAAAAATGGCCTTAGAAAAATATTACTGGTGTGCACCTGGAGACAAAAAAATGACTCTGACATATTTTATGACATCTCACCGCAAGTTATTTTAAGCTAAGACAGCTCAAACATGCAATTTAATCTTGACTAGCCTTAAACCTTGATTGTGGAACCGGGGGTTGATTTATTAAAGGGATAGTTCACCCAAAAATGAAACTTCTGTCATCAATTACTCATCTTTTACTTGTCTCAAACCTGTTTACGTTTCTTTCTTGAACACATTGCCATTGACTTCCATAGTATTTTGGGTCCTATGGATTTACACGGCTGCTTTTTATCCCATATCTCTTCAGAATATCCTCTTTTGTGTGGGTAAATGTTGAGGAAATTTTTTCACTCTCATTCACACTTGTACACTACGGACAATGTAGCTTACCCAATTCACCTAAAGTGCATGTGTTTTGGACTTTTGGGAAAACCCATGCCAACACTGGGAGAACATGCAAACTCCACACAGAAATGCCAACTGGCCCTGCCGGGACTCGAACCAGCGATCTTCTTGCTGTAAGGCGACAGTGCTAACCACTGCGCCACCGTGCCGCCCCTAAATAACAATAAATAACAATATTAGCATACAATCAGTCTGAATTACATACATTGTGGTGGCCTAATGAAGACGTCTACATGCTGATTGATTTTAGTTTGTGAAGCATCAGGTGTCCAAAAATAAGCGACGATGCTCTTGAAATGAAACCGAAAGCCTCAAAGCAGATCAGATTGAGAAGGACTAGGATGAAATCAGCTGAACGCATGATAAATCTACCATTAAACCTATAGAGAGAAGCAGAGCCAGGGGGAAGGGTGAGGTGGCCGGGGGTAAATGAAGCTCTGCGGGACGTCCTGGCCTCCATTGGGCTCATGCTGAGAGCCTCTTTCATCTCACTGCATTATAAGCAAATCAAATATTCTTTTGTATCAGCGCTGCAATCTATCTTTATGGATAGTGTGTGCTTACGTGAGCGTGTGCCTCTTTGATGTGGTTATGACAGGACCTTTGACATATTCAAAGCCTCGTGTCCAGTAGCCCTGCTGAGGTGTGTGTGTGTGTGTGTGTGTGTGTTGTGTGTTCCCTGCCGATCTGCTGTGTATAAAGTGTTCTTTTGTTCTCTGGTGGCCACTTCAAAGAATAGACACATGAAAGCATGAAAGAACGTGCATGTGTGTGTGTGTATGTGTGTGTGTGCACGCATCTGTATTTTTAGTGCTTCAGTGTTGCATAGCAAGACTTGATGTTGATTATGCGTGTGTGTACATGTGTGTTTGTGTGTGTGTGTGTTTAGTGCTTCTGTTGCATAGCAAGACTGGATGTTGATCGTGCATGCATGCATGTGTGTTTGTGTTTGTTTGTGTGTGTGTGTGTGTGTGTGCGCATTTGTGTATGTTTAGTTCTTTAGTGTTCCATACCTAGACTTGATGTTGATCATGTATGTATGTGTGTGTGTGTGTGTGTGTGTGTGTGTGTGTGTGTGTGTGTGTGTGCGTGCGTGCGTATGTTTAGTACTTGAGTCAGTGTAGACTTGATGTTGATTGTGCACGTATGTGTGTGCGCGTGTGTGTGTGTGTGCGTATGTTTAATGCTTCATTGTTGACTTGTTGTTGATCATGTACTGTATGTGTGTGTGTGTGTGTGTGTGTGTGTGTGTGTGTGTGTGTGTGTGTGTGTGTGTGTGTGTGCGTATGTTTAGTACTGGAGTCAGTGTAGACTTGATGTTGATTGTGCAGGTATGTGTGTGCGCGTGTGTGTGTGTGTGTGCGTATGTTTAATGCTTCATTGTTGACTTGTTGTTGATCATGTACTGTATGTGTGTGTGTGTGTGTGCGTATGTTTAGTACTTGAGTCAGTGTAGACTTGATGTTGATTGTACACGTATGTGTGTGCGTGTGTGTGTGCACGTGCATACATTTATTGTTTTAGTGTTGCATAGCAAGAATTGATGTGAATCGTGTGTGTGTGCGTGTGTGTTTGTGTGTGTGTGTGTGTGTGTGTGTTTGTGTGTGCATATGGTAAGTGATTTAGTCAGTGTTGCAAAGCAAGACTTAATGTTGATCGTGTGTGTGTGTGTGTGTGTGTGTGTGTGCAAATGTTAAGTGTTTTAGTGTTGCTGCATAGCAAGACTTGATTTGAATTGTGTATGTATGTTTGTGTGTGTGTGTGTGTGTGTGTGCGCACATGTTTAGTGCTTCAGTGAGTGTTGATGTTAATCATGTGTATGTGT